ATTTTGCATAATAGGGGACCTTTAAAGAAAGACACATCTGCATCCTGACCCTCGACATGGGACAACACAGCATGACCCATCACATCAAACACACACTCTTTCTCCGGATTTACCATCGGTTTCTTTGCCTATCACATTTCAAAACAATGTCAGAACTTTTTTTTACAAACTTCCCTCATCTAATCCATTCTTGTTTTCAGGGTAAAGCCTTAAGGGAATGTAAACACAAGGACGTCCAGGAACATACTGATATGTCAATAAGATGGACTTAAAAGTAAACCTACATGCAATCAGTAGGGCTGCAACTACAATTGTTTCAATTCTTACTTAGAGTGCGGATAAATATATATTTAATTTATCAATTCAGGGTTTAATTAGCCATAAAATGAAGTGAGAAATTGCATTTTTAATGTCACAAAGCCAAGGAAGGCATCCAACATGAGCACATTGGAGCAATAAGTGAACAGATACCTGAAAAAAAGACCATACAACTTGAATTGATTGACAAAATATGCAGGTTAAGTTCTTGCAACTTAAAATACAATATTCAAATGTAAATGACGTAGGGAACTTTGGAAAGACACAGGAAGGGTTACAAGTTTGTTGGGAACCACTACGTTGCAAATCAAACCACAAATCATCCTCTGACTTGTGGAAGCAGCGAGGGCAACAAGTGATAGGAAAAGGGGGTGTGAGGGAGTAATGATCGGGTTAAGGGAGGAAGGGAAAGGAAGAAGGAGGTGGGGGACTCAGTTTGAGGTGGGGAGGGTCTAACAACCACAAATCAAGCGGTGATCAGTCGCCTCACTTAGCGTTTCTGGAATGTTCTAGTCTATAGCACCTGCAGGGAGTGGGAGACAAGTTCTGCCAAGCTCAGGAGGAATTCAACCAAAGGGGGGAGGGGGAGGAGAGGAGGGGGGAGCACGTGGATGTCCCTGCAACGTTTGTCAGTGTGTGAGCTTTTAGCATCACTCTTGCACCAAACCCACCTCTAATTGCATCTCTTCAGCTAAGGAGGGACTACTTTTTTTGCAGCAGCACAGAGTTAAAGCCACTTTAACTGTCTTTAACGGCTTTATCGCATTAATGTATCTCCACTAAGTACACTGTGCCCACTTTGGAAACCAAATATTGCTAAAACTACAAGATAGGGATCTAGCTACTCTCTTTTCCACTCTAATGTCTAACTGATCCACAGATGCACTCGAGTTGATTTATTATAATATCAGCAGTTTTGCATGTTTTAGCCCATTTCTAGCTAATTTCATTGATTTTTTAAGCAAAAAGGTCAATAATTTGCTGTTCTAGCTTTAACCATGTTGGGATTTTATGGTTTTTTTGTTGTACATAATAGTAAACTGAATATGTTTGGTTGTTTTGGACTATTGACTTGAATTAATAATGCAATAAAATGTAAATAATGTATTTGTTTACCATGCTTTTTGTGTTTGGAGAATTGATTAACACACTTTTGAAAATTGGCTTTAACTCAAAAGGATAATGAAATAATGCAGATTTGATGATCTCAATGACTCTTTCACAAATGGAAAACCAATGGGTTGGTTGAACAGTAGGAAATAACCATCCAAAAACGTAAAACTGCATAGCAAGCATAAAAAAAACTTCAATTGAAAGGCGATAAAACTTGGAAAAACACCGGAATTATCTTTAAAAAAGGCAATAATAATGTCAATCTGCCATAAAACGACACAAATCTCAGTTTCCGGCGTGAACTGTGCACGTACAACGTAACCAAGAGTGTCCCGTTTGTTTTTTAAATTCTCATATGTCACTAGCCTGCGATTAAACAGTATGTACAGTGTGTATCTGTCCAACCCGTCCATCTTGCATTCCAACAAATGTAAAAAGTACATTTCTTTACCATCTAGCTATAGTAAAAATCACTTGACTCTCCCTCCTTTTTTCTTCCCGTCATGCCTCCTCCCTTCACCTCGCCATTCCTCCTCACCCCAGTGTGATGTTTTCTCTGTGCCAACAGCTGTGGCAGCCCTGACAGACACCCTCTCCGTATGTTCACTGAAACATCATTTTGGGAAGTCAGCTAACGCTAAAATAATCCATCAATATAACAACCATGCTTTTGTCAAAGTAAGCTACCTATGTGGGTTTGATGCTTAGATGTCAAATGAAGCTAAGTAGACCAAAATACACACATATGTCCTCATTAACTCTAAATTAATGTTCAAACCTCCTGATAGCATCTTGGAGCAAGTTGGTTAAGTTAGCCTCAACAAACGTTTGGTTTTAGCCGCATAATTAGCTAGCAAACTCGCTAACAAGCAAGCTAATGCATGCTCTTCCTAAAGATACACATAGTTCCAGTGGCTTAATGTGGTTTGTAACTCTTTGTAGCACTGCGTGTGTTAGCTTGGGAAGTCAGTTTAGTTTTGGCATAACTAGCTAGCTAACTTGCAAACTAAACAATGCTGACTCACTACTATCAGCCACATCGAAAGCTTGCTACTTGCAGAAATGCTAACTAGACGGTAAACGATAGCGAACAGATAGGGTGGTTACTTAGCTTAACGCACAACTTTTTTAATTTGGAGACACAGGAACTGAGGTCCAACACAATGACGACCAGACTGTTGTTTCCCCCAAAATACATGTACAATGTAGTGGTTTTAACTCATATGTACAAGCTTAAAAGGTATGGGTAATTATCGACGCCAACGTCCAACCCTATCTCGTAATAATAATAATTTACATAAAATACATTTTGGGCTGGACAGCAGCTAAAGACACGATTACAAGGGTTACAGGAGCTCAGACCACCCAACAAACTAATCTGTCAGTCACTCCACACACACACACACACACACACACACACACACACACACACACACACACACACACAACACACACACACACAACACACACACACACACACACACACACACACACACACACACACACACACACACACACACACACACACACACACACACACACACACACACACACACACACACACACACACACACACACACACACACACACACACACACACACACACACACACACACACACACACACACACACACACACACACACACACACACACACACACACACACACTCGTATCCATCTACTCAGCCACCCACACACACACACACACCCACACACACACACACACACACACACATACACACACACACACACATACACACACACACATATACAACACAAAACAACGGGGAGGTTGGCAGTGGGTGGAGAAGTCAATTCAAAGTCAATGCAGCTCCATCAGATGAGTCCTATTGACACACAGGAAGCTTTTTGCTGCTCATTCGCTTGAATGTCTCCCCGTCATCAACGTCTCTGTCAAAGACGACGACCGCCTTACTTCAGTTTCCTGTCACTCGGCTCGTAGAGCAAAGCACTAACACTGCTAGGGTTGAGGGTTTGTGTCTGACTGATGAAGTTTGGCAAAGGATTTAGATTTATTTTGCACCAGCTGTGCTTGAAATTGCGTGAAATTATGATATTATAAGCTGTAGTGAAATGTGGCTTCGTACATTTACTCTTGTACTGTGCAATTTGTAGGTACTTGTAATTGAGTATAATAATTATAGACATCTTCTCCAATACATGTTTTCTCCACAGCTTTGTTTTCTAGTTACGTTGTAAACTTCTGCAAGCTAATACCAACCGTAACATAAAAAAAGGACATATTTCCAAAAATTAAACCACTTGCTAAAACTAATTAAACTACGACAGTACTTATATACTATTTGGGAGCTTTTACGTAACACCAATGTAATGTTGGAGCATACAGACATTAATGACATTATATAGCTTTCACTTTAGCTTCTCCTCAACCTAAAGTCCGGCCCAATTAACAAGAAAGAAGCCATGTTTGAATGACAGCATCAAACAGCCCCACTCCCCTTTCTTATTCTAATTTGGGAGGTAGTGGGTGTAGTGCTGCATTGACCTTTCCCTTCACAATTTAACCTGACCCTTGTCATCACAGATGGCCAATCTGTGTCTCAATAACGCATTTAAACACTTCAACCCCCTCTGTGTATACTATTATATGTATTAAATGTGGGTATGGAGCGTATATATACTGATTTGGCATGGTTAGATATCTCAGAATGCTTAATTTGGGGTATATTTAAGTCATGTATTACTGCATAAGTACTTAAATGAATGAGCTTTTACTGCATTGTATGTTCTGATGTTTAAAAGTATGATTAGATCAAATGAAATGAGAAACTAGGAATATATTATCTGCCCTTGAAAATGCTATATACTTTCAAATAGACCCCATATACTCAGGATTGAAATGAAATATAAGAATGCACAAAAAGGTTGTTTAAAGAGAGACATAATCCCTGTTTGCTTGCACTGTCTTGCAGCAGCAGATTACTCTGAAAGTCTTGCAAAGGTGTGGTTTAGAAAAAGGCACGTTGCCCTAAAAACCTCCTTCATTTAAATATTCATCAGGGGGGCGGGGCTTGAATTGCAAATGCGGGCCAACTCAAATATGAGCTGCTTTTTTCTGTCCCTCGGGCTACTAAAAAGTGCAATCTCTACACCAACGCTTTAAGTGCACACATGGTGCAACACAGAACTCACTTGGAGTAAAATCGGTCTGTAAACACTCACTGAAGTGTCCTTAAAGATGTGTAGCATGACAAATATTCAGAAATGTGTCTCTTCATGCCAGACTGAAGACACCCACAGCGTGATGCATGTAGGGACACTTCTGCAAAGTGCATATGGACAACATGAGTATGGAAGTCACTTTATAAACACGTTAACGTATCATGTATGCAACCAGCTTTGAAAATGATGATGTTAAAACGTTTTTAAAACTTGCCAAATAAGCTCGGTTGAGACATTTACATGCAACAGGTTCAGGAAAAGTATTTTGTGCAGCAGTTTGAATGCAACAACTCCATCTGTTGCATCTGTTCTCTAAATAATCGGTGGAGCTGAGAGGACAGTAATAATAAGCAAAAGGGACTTACTCCGTGCGCAGATCCCACCGCCAAGGCGACTGCTATCATACAAATCCTGCCAGGGAAATAAACATGTTAAGTTAATGTGTGTTTCCAAGTGTGTATTTGGCAGGTTAAGTGAGCCGGAGCTCGCTTTCAGCCGCGACAAACGCCGTGGCAAAGCCGATAACTTTAAAATAAAAAGTTGCAGCGTGATTTTAAAGAGGGAAATGCCTTACAGGAGTTTCATTTTGGTGAGTAGATGGGGTAAATCACAGGTACTCGATCCCCTTGTCTTCACCAGCAAGGTACTTCAAACGCGCTCATCGACTGCTCCAAAAAACCCTGTCATCTACCCGGAGACAGAAAGAGAGAGATAAAGTAGTCCCACCGACAAACACAACCAGCGTTTACACACACACTCTGACGTCCCCACGCATTAAAACACGACCACCACAGGAAACAAATGTGTTTGTAGGTGATTTCTTTGATAAAATGAGAGCTTATCCAACTCACCAAAGTTGCAGCGGTGAAGTCGCTGCTGCGCTCTCCGGGTTGTTGCGCTTGAAACTCAGCAGCGCAGCACAGAGCAGGAGAGGAGGGGCCAACACATGTCATTCATGCCTCCATACCTTTGGCTTCAACAGGAGATTGTACCCACTCACACACACCAGAACCCACTCACACACACCAGAACCCACTCACACACACCAGAACCAACTCACACACACCAGAACCAACTCACACACACCAGAACCCACTCACGCACACCAGAACCCACTCACACACACCAGAACCAACTCACACACACCAGAACCTCTTCAGTGTAGCAAACGAGGCTCTGCAGTCCGGAGACAGTCTTTAGTTGGGTTAAATATGAAAAAAAGACAAAAATATCTCACTATTAAAAAAAGTATAAATACTTTTACTCCAATGATTCTCAATAGAGTCCATAGAAACTTTTCTGAACATATTCTACCTCCTAATATGAACACACTATGCCTAGAAAGTGAGTTTATCACGACTTAAAGTTACCTTTTGATTGATTTGAAACATTAGGACCCATTAAAAACATCATAGTGGCCATGATACTCATTTAGGTCTGAATAATTTAATCATTTAATCGCCTGTTGTCGCATGATCTTTCGGTTGTTTAGAACAAATCTGCAGCTTAAAAAAAGACTTAGTTTTACATTTAATTAAAACACATGATCCTTTGATCCAACAAGAGATTTTACTATTTCGGAGAGTCTTTAGTTTCTTGGCAAAAAGTAAAGAAAATGTCTTACTTTTAAAGACATTTTGAGATCTTTATTCCCACAAAGCTCAATTATGAGTTGATGGAAACTTTGATGGACATGTATTCCCCATAATACCAACCCAAAATCCCTAAAAGTTAAGTTTCTCTAAGACTGTAAAGTGACATCATGATCAGTTTGCAACATGTTCACCCATAAAACATCATAATGGTCATATGATAGGATTCAAATGCTTTATTGTCATATGCACAATAGCTAAAACCGTAGTTTTGGCAATGAACATCTTAAGAACCAGGCTCCACAACAATGCCATAAAAAGGAAAACATACATATATAAGTAATAAAACAATAAGGATTGTGCAAACTCAATGGAGTCTTCTAAAAACAGTATGCTTTATTTATAATTGTCTCTGGTTGCATGATATTTCTTCGGTGTATGTTCTCAATGTGCAACTTATAAAAAGGCCTAGTTTTACCTTAAATTATAAAATGGATCCTGCAAATGCATTCAGGATTATTATAGCTCAGCATTCTCATATCTATGTTAAGCATGGGATCAAATTAAAACTTTGTTTGAACACCTCTGTCCTGATATGCTGCTCTAAACACGGTGCAGACACTGAGTTACTCAAGTTGCAAACAGTCCCATTTTAGCTCTTGGATGGTCTATTTTCGTTCAACTTGACCTTAGGGAGTCTTCACCACATATGACATGATCATTTATCTATGACTACATTGTGTTGACATTACACTCATGTTTCTGTTTAAATTATATAATCTCTTTTGTATAAAGGCATCTCAGTGCTACTCAACAGCTTGTTTTAGAGCTGTGGAGTACCGCAGGGCTCCACCATGGGACCTTTGTAGTTTTGTACTTTGAATGCCTTTATTTATTGTCATTGCTGCATGAATCAGAATATTAGTTACTTTACCTCCCACATTAACCCTTGAGCCCATATATTAGAAATAGTTAATACCTAAGAAGCTTTTGAAAGTCACCATACACTAACTCATACAATTTCGAACAATGTCACAATCTTTGCAGAGATTAAGTGAAAAATGGAAATGTGTCTTCTTGCTTATATAAATGGGTTGGACAACATATAAGGGTTAGGGTTAAAGTTGGGAATGAAGTGGGTTACAAAACATAATTCAACAGAAACAGCCTCCAAAGTGACCATAAAGTTGAATGAACATTTCTCGAGTACAGTTTCAAAGCTAGACATTATAACCTGCCTCTAAACACCTCATAAACAAAGGAGATGGAAATTGATTTTAGAAAAGCACAATCGCCCAACCCTACTCTTTTAAATAGCGAGCCCATTCAATGTGTTACTGAGTACAAATATCTTGGTGTCGTGCTTGACCACAAGCTCAGATGGGATGTTTGGTTTGAGAAAATAAATGCCAAATCTCAACAAAGAATGTTTTCTTTACGTAAATTATTGTCTTTTAATGTCTGCAACAGAATGGTGAAGATGTTTTATCAGGCTTTTATTGAAAGTGTGCTCTCATTCGGCATTATATGCTGGTTCGGCAACGCCACTGAGGCACAGAAAAAGTTAGTCAGGAGGACCATAACATTGTCCAGTAAATTGACAGGAATCTCATTTGCTAATATAGAATCAAACCTTTATTTAACCAGATTGGTCCCATTGAGATCATAGATCTCTTTTTCAAGGGAGACCTGCAGAATGCTTATATAAGGACAGAGTTTTAAAATTGGCAATATTGTGAGTGACCTGAGGCACCCACTTGCCTCTTACTTTGAACTGTTGCCATCCGGGCGGAGATATCGTGCCCCTCTGTTCAAAAAGAACATATCTAGGCTGTCTTTCGTCCAACAAGTCATCAAACTCCTGAATCAATGATGGCTAGGACGCACTGTTTATCCAGCTGGTCTGGCCCTGTCCCCCCTATTTCGCAAATGAGGGCCTAGGCCCCTTGTCATGTCTGCCGATATCTGTTTTTCTTATGTCTGTTCATTTTAATCTGTGTCTATGTTGTTGTCAGTGACGTATTGTCTTATCTTTTGAAATGCCTTTGTGATGTGCTGCAACCCATTTTCCCCTCGGGGACAAATAAACGAATACTACTACAACTACAACAGCAAAAATTAAAATCACACACAGGGAAATGTCAGGAGTCGTGCTCCGCTCTGACTAGAAGGCCAGAGATAAGAAGTGAGTTTTAAGTGTAGATTTTTTTTTAAACCCTAGGATAGGCCGACCTCACATGGAGGGGCAGAGTGCTCCAGAGCCTGGGGCCAGCTGCTACGAAGGCTCTGTGCCCTCTGGTTTTGAGCCTGGTCTTGGGCACTAGCAGCAGCAGCTGGTCAGCCGACCTCAAAGCTCTGGCTGGGGTGTAGCGATGGATGACGGATAAGCCGGAGCCAGCCCATTTAGTTTTAACTTAGTTAAGCAAGTGAACTTACTAACATACGTAATTTAGCCTACGTAACATAACTAACGTTGTTCATTTGTTAATTTGACATAATTTAAGTTAAAAACAAATTGTTTTAACACAAACCAAGAGTTTTGAACATAATGAAGGAGTTTGTTTTCAATTCATAACATTATTCTTGTTTTTAAAACTATGACTCGTCAAAGCGTCGTTGAGAATGCAGTGTTGTTTATGCAAACGTCATTTAAAAAAAGGGATACAAGGTTATTTTCCATTGTCGTCCTTTACTTCAAGTCAATAATCCCATGTACAGAAAAATATATTATATCATTTACAAAGTGAACTTGTGGTCTGGGACTGGCTCTGTCTACAGTAACACACTTGTGAAACAAATCAACGATCATTAACTCCAGGTTACTTTATAACTTCAAGCCCCCTCAAGAATGTCATCTGCATTTTAGGTGTTCTTCCGGGACCTACTTCATGGACTTCAATGATTCAATTATATGTTAAACTGTAAGAAAAGGGACATCTCCAACTAAAATGTCAGTATACTCATTTAATGTGTTTTAGGATGTCTGGATAATCAAATCCATATAGTTGTATTATAGACAGTTTCAGCAGCTTTGCATATGACTTTTCCCATTCACATAATAGCCTTTTTGCATTACACCCTATCAAAAAGAATGCAGTAAAATGAGAAGGAAAGGTGATTTTCTTTTGTTTTAAAGAAGTTAATTTGACTTTACTTCTGCCCGCAGCAACCCTCTGTCAACAGTCAAAAGTGAGTATTTGGCCTTTAATAATCTGGCAGGAATGTAAACATGCCTGGGCATATAGAAAATGTCAAATAAAGGTTTAATGTCAAACCTTCTTTTGTGGAGCCTCAGGCATGGGTAGGATTTGGGAGGCAAGAATGAAGGCAACATATCCATCCGCCTGCGAGGTCCTAACATATTAGGTTATTTCTGATTTGAAAGTGGTTTAAAACAAATCTGAACTGAAGACATCAAACAAAGATTACTATTAGTGAATGACATTTAAGATGCAATTCACTCGGAAACCTTATTTTTCACGAGTTGTCTGAGTCAGTGTATGTGCCAGGGGAGATGATATCACTGCGCACTGCCTTTGGGAAGTAGATCCGGCTGGGCAGGTTTGCAAGTCGAGGAGAGAAAAAGTTAGAGAGGGGGACTGCTGAGGTGCAGCCACAGCCAGGACCACTGGAGCCTCTGCACGCGCAACAAACAGCCGAGAACAAGTGCCTTTCTGACCATTTTCTATTTCACTGAGAAGCAAGTGTGCAGAGGGGGAATTAGGGCTATGCCTCGCGAGTAGAAAGAAAGTAGATTTTGTGAGTGGTGTCCTGTTTAATTCCCACAAGATGAATAAAGACTTGAAGAGCCTGAGCCAGCTCGCCGTGCCTCTGCTGCTTTTCGCCCTGTGCGTCGCGGTGCAGCGAACAGAGTCAGCGGTAAGTGCCTTTAAACTTTTTTGCAAAGATTTTTACAGATTTAAGGGCTTTTCCCTCCGCAAACGCCCGACACTCAGAGACCTATCTTCGGTCAGCCGGCACCGGGACTCCACCGGCTCCAACCACGATTTATAAATAGAGAGGCTGCTTTATAACAAGTGCTTCTGCTCGCATAATAATCATATTACCGATTCTCCTGTTGATGCATTAAAACAACCGCACGTTTTCACGCTTTTACAGAGGCTTTTATGGCACTTTTTAACGAGCTTCACGGGCTCTGCTTTGTAGTTTCATGGGAGAATCGGACGGAGTTTCTGTCCCTCTTTGCGCATCACATTTCTTCCTCCCTGCTGGAGGCAACCTGTAGCAACACGCCGACCATAATGCACTTTACCCAGCCTGAATATACTTTAATTCCTGTTATGAATAACTTAAACACTTTAGATGTGTGTGTGGAGAAGTGCGGCGACGCTGAGTCTTCCTCTCCCTTCACTAGTGTGTCTTTAAATCAGATTAATAATGTTAATTCCTGCTCTGACACATATAAAACAGCTTTTTCTTAAATATCCTGTGCGTAGTTACGCTTGGTTTCATCCATTTCCACCCCATAAGAGCGGGAATGTGATTTTCAACAGCTTTATGAAGGTGCATCTCCCCTGCAGGTGTGTTTTATGTTGACAGCACATTCTTCTATTGAAGTATAGACACTAAAAGCCATCTTTATTGCTCCTCCTAACACCATGCAGACTTAGATTCTGTGCAGAAACAAGACTTTTAGTGGCTGTTTTATCACCTAACATGCCTCATTCAGATGTATTAGCATCCAGGAGGAGTGTGTGTGTGCGCGCGTGTGTGTGTGTGTGTGTGTGCATCTTCCCTCTGTATGAGTTAAAGTGGCTGCAGCTCTCCAACTTCCCCATCAAACTCTAGTCTGTCCGGCTTCTCATGTATAATACTCCATCTGTGTTATGAATATTCACACCTCATTAATCATTCATGAGCTGCATATAGCCCCGCCCACATTCAAGGCGTGTCCAATCAGGTCTGAACACTTGCTGTTCATCAGTATGTATGGCATGAAGACTTTTCATGCTCCAGCTTTTATACATGTCATCTTGAATCCTATGTTCCTATGGCAGTATTTCATTATGTAACAGTGAACAAATGCATGTTTTTAGGCCATGAACACCACTTTCCAGATGTCAGGGTGAGATTTAAACCCCTCTTGAAGTTGCACAAAGTTTATACTAAAGCATTTTGTGTAAATAAAATCGCAGCTGGCTTCCTCCCCTCAGTTTATACAGCTTGAGGATCTTTTTCCTGCCTGCCAGGTTGTGTCCTCCGCTATAAAACACATTCAATCTACATTATGTTGTTTTTACAAGGGGCGGACATCATGTGACATGTTGTGGAACGCTTTAAATCTATTTCTCTAGGAGGTAAATAGGTCCTAATGTCAAAATGTAAACCCTTAAATGTATTGTCAGTGACTAATAGAAGATGCTCTCTCAGTAGAATATTGTCAATCAAGTGTTATCTCTTAAAGGCGTGTTTGGAGATGTCGTCTATATTACATGCGTGACAGAGGGGCTGTCATTGTCGCCATGGAGATGAAGGAGGGGGGTCCACTTTCTATATAGGAATGTGGCTGACCCCCCCTCCCGCTTGAGTAGGATGAGGAAGTTCAGAGGGGAGAGGGTGAAGATGGATAGAAGAGACACACAAAACATCAAGCTAAGGTTCATTAAAGATCAATGATGGAGCGTGAAAGTCCATTCATGACCTTGGGGAGCAATTTGTGGTCACTTATTTTAACTTTCAACCACATCTCACACATTTCAGGAGTAGTTGGAGGTGGATTGGGGTGTGGAAAAAGTGATTGGTGTTGTTGCACGGGCTTTTTTTCACTTTCTACCTCTACACACACACACTTTCTCTCACACACACATTCCCAGTTTGTCCTGGTTATGTCTGACCCGCACCAGTGTTCTCACTGAGGCCCCTAGTGGAGAAGGTGTTTATTACATACAACCACTGATCTCTGTATTCATGTTGAATTTTTTTTAATCACTTTTCACATAAATAAACATGCAGTTCTAAACAGATTTGATACTAAATATGATCTCCTTTTCTTTCCTAATTATGTGTAAACTGTCCTATTTTTTTGTCAACTAAGATTCCTTAAATCCACTTAAGAAAGTACTTTTTTCTTATATTTACAAATTGACATCTGGGTATTCATGGTTTACATAAGACAGCGCAAATAAGGATAACAGGGATACATCTGCAACTACATTGAAACATATGTACACACATACAAAGGGCCTCTTATTCATTTAGTAACTTCTTAAACAACAGATTATAATGCATCACTGCTTCTTAGCTTTTTGGTCGTGTGTGTGTGTGTGTGTGTGTGTGTGTGTGTGTGTGTGTGTGTGTGTGTGTGTGTATGTGTGTGTGCAGTATTAATCCTCACCCAGATATGATCTCCTCTCCATAGAGCCAGGTGAGGGAGTTCAGAGGTAATGTATACCTGTAGGTTCTCCTTTGAACCCGTCATGCAGCATAACCACACACTTAATTTGATGCATGCTTCCCTGTGCACACACACACACACACACACACACACACACACACACACACACACACACACACACACACACACACACACACACACACACACACACACACACACACACACACACACACACACACACACACACACACACACACACACACACACACACACACACACACACACACACACACACACACACACACACCCTCACCTTTTACCTGACCCACATCCCAGGTGGAGCTGTGTGTGTGTGTGTGTGTGTGTGTGTGTGTGTGTGTGTGTGTGTGTGTGTGTGTGTGTGTGTGTGTGTGTGTTAGCCATAACATCCTCATATTGCAGAGATACATCTGTCATGTTGTCTCACACCGCAGCGCTGCATTTTTCTCATCTGATCTCTTAGATTGTTCTTCTATGACTTCCTTTAAGAGCATATCTTTAAAAAAAAGTGATTGAATTTGAAGAATTATTGAAAGTTACCGCAGTTTTAAAACATCAAACCTGCAGAGAAATGCAACAAACCACAGCTCTTCATGGAAAATAAATCCACTGTGCCACTATTTTATTAAGACCCATGAAACAAAAATACCATTTATTCAAATTTGTAGCATCTCAAGTGTTAGGATTTACACCTATTTTCCTCGATCTTTGGTGAGAAAACACTTTAATATATATATTGTTAATGGTTAGTCCGACATAACAAGTTTACGAAGAAGTCACATTTAGGTCACTATTGTTTGGACACCCAATCTGTTAGATGCAGCTCTACTTGCACGGCATGCATAGTGCAAAGTGCTGCAGTTGCTTTATGGATTATTCAGGGTAAAAAAGGCGGCAAAAGTATTTATTTGTCTGGCTTGCAGCTGCCACATTTTGTATACAGCATTTTATATTTAAATAAATAGATATACACAGCTGCAGATTTAGCCCGTTCGACCCACGCAAAAATCAAACCTGCACTCTTTCTCAAACCTACCCAAACGTACCTCTCCTCTTTACCCGGCTGCATCTCCCTCCCTTTTCTCCCCCATGCCTCTCTCCCACTCCCTTCCTTTGTGTCTGTTCTTGAAGGCAAATTCCATCTTTATCTCACCTGCTCCGAGACGAGCTGCTCAAACAAGCCCCGTGTTGGCAGCTTCATATGTACCTCCTTTGTATAGTTACACATTGTAGAGGAAGGTGTGTGTGTGTGAGTGTGTGTGTGTGTGTGTGTGTGTGTGTGTGTGTGTGTGTGTGTGTGTGTGTGTGTGTGTGTGTGTGTGTGTTGTGTGGTGTGTGTGTGTGTGTGTGTGTGTGTGTGTGTGTGTGTGTGTGTGTGTGTAATTCACACCTCGGTGATAATGAGCTGAAGATGCCATTAGGATTAGCAGGTGGACTAAAGTCAATGAGAGCTAACACCACATGTTGACACAGCTAATTACCTTCATCCAGAACTTTCTCTCCTTCCTCCTCTTCGTCACCCTCACACTGTCTTCCTCCTTTTACTGCAGGAAGAAGAAGCGACAGTAAATTATGGGGAGTTATTAAAGAAGCAGAAATAGATGTAGAAATACTACTAATATAGCAGAAGCAGTAGTAGAAGTTGGATAAGTGTTAATACTATTAGGAGCGGATTAGCGGATTATTTAATGGATTAATTGGTTAATCGTTTGGTTTATAAAAGGTCAGAAAATAGTGAAACATTTCCAGTTGTTCAAAGTCCAAGGTGATGTGTTGTTTTGTCGATTTAAAAAACAAAATATATTCATTTAATTATTATATAAAGCAGCGGAAAGCAGCATAACTGCATATTTGAGAAGCTGAAAACAGGTTTTTAATGCAAATTTTGAATGAAAAATTCCTTTAAAAATTAACCGATGATCAAAATAGTTGTTTTTTTCCCTATTGATTGACATATCGATAAGTCGACTAATCGATGAAGCTCTAACTGCAGTAAAATTAGCTTTAGTAGTATTAGAAAAGGTTAATAGCAGTAGTATTAGTTGTGGAAGTGGAACGAGTAGAATGAGTTACAGTATTTGCAAGAGTTTTAGTAGTAGTAGTAGTAGAAGGATATCTAGTATTTTCCGGGGCCGCAGTAGTACTATTAAGGTAGTGTTAGTACTTGGAGTAAGAGAAGAAGTAGTAGCAAGAGTTGCAGCAGAGGTAGTAGTACTGTAAGAGTTTTAGTAGTTGTAGTAGTAGTAGTATTAATAGTAGTAGTAGTAGTAGTAGTAGTAGTAGTAGTAGTAGTAGTAGTAGTAGTAGTAGTAGTAGTAGTAGTAGTAGCAGCAGTAGTAGTAGTAGTAGCAGTAGCAGTAGTAGTAGTAAGTAGTAGTAGTAGCAGTAGTAGCAGCAGTAGCAGTAGTAGCAGTAGTAGTAGCAGTAGCAGTAGTAGTAGCAGTAGCAGTAGTAGCAGTAGTAGCAATAGTAGCAGTAGTAGTAG